CATTTTCAACTTCTTATTTACAATGAAGTAAGAAATTGAGGGGCTTTTCTCTTCTTCCTCCTCCTTTTCCTCCTCCTCCACCCTCTTTCCTTTTGCTTTAATGCTGCAGATTGAACTCAGGGCCTTGTATATGCTAAACAAGTATGCTACTCTCGATTATACCCCCAGTTTCACACCATGCTATTTTAACAAATAAAGCAACACAATACAAAAAAAAAAAATGAAAATCTCAGACCATATCAAATATGGTGAATGCATACTTTTGAGACTTTTTGCTGCATTTACATATATATGTACATATGCATTTATGCATTCACATATAATAGTCCCGGCTCATGGTTTAAAAATGTATTTCTACTGCATATTGTGGTAAACAATCAAAGAAAGATGTAGAAAAGTGATTCCAGACTCAGCATCAGAGGGGTGGCTAGTCTAACGGCTTAGTGCCTGAGCAGCCATGCCGAGAGAGCATTTGAATCTTGAGTGATGCCTGTGGCCCTCGGGAGCAGTGTGTCCATCACCTGACTGAGTGAAGGAAGTGGCACAGGTTTAACATCCCTAACCCCAAACCCAAGAGTGTAAATATTGAAAATCCAAAGCTGTTTGAGTGTTGAAATGACACCACAAATGGAAAATTCTATTGTTTAACCTCATGTGATAGGTCTCAGGCAAAACAGACATGCTAAAAATATTGTTTAAAACTACCTTCATATTCCAAGTATTAGGGGCATGTGAGACATATGTGAATTTTTTTAGTCAGACTTGGGCTCCATCCCTAAGATTCCTTGTTATGAATAGGTTTTTTTTTTTTTAAATCCAACGTGTCTGTTACCAAGCATCTTTTGTACAGGATGCTCAGCCTGTACCCTGGGTGGGCTTGAAGTAGCCACTCAGAAAAAAAACCTTTAGTGGATTTATTTTCTTAATAAACCGTGTCTACTACAAGCGAAGATCGAGATCTTGTCCATGTGATAGTCCCCTGACTACTTTATTGAATGAAGAAATTGGTGGAAATTTATAACAAAAATTCCAATTGACCTTCTGATAGTCAGTGACTACATTCTTGTTTTGTAAAGAAAACTCCCAGGGAAGTTCTGCTTTGAAATCTAGTCCTGAATGTTTCAAACAAAGACAGGGCATTCACTTAAGGAAGGTCTCATGTGAGGAAATGGATATTGGCAAATACCTTTCCTCCCACATGACTCAGTACAGTAAAGAAGCAGAACCCCCTTGCAGGCATGCAGGTCCATTTAGTGTTTCCTATATAGCCTGGGGTTTCTGCTTTTGCTTCTATTTCAAGCATCCTTCCTGTACGTCAGAGGAGGGGGGTTCCTACAAAGGAGGAAACAAAACCAGTGGTTGTGATCATGAAAGTGAGACGAAATCTCCCCCTTCTCCCTCCCCCGCACACAACCACTGTTGATTTGGGAGTCGGCTTCATAAAGGATGGATACTTACAGCCCTTAGCTCTGCAGCCTGGCATTTTATGCTCTTTCAGAGTCCAGCCAGGGGTAGCAGCCTATGACTCTCCAAGATGTCTTCCTCTAACCATGTCATATTTTCAGTGAAGGAACCGAGGTTTAAAGAAAGCCATCAAAAAACCTGTTACCTACAGACAAGTCTAACATGTCCCACAGGTTATGCTAGCTTAACCTACCGCACTTAGAGTCTTTCTCAAGGAGACCTTGAATCCATGAACACTGTAGTACTCGGGTATTTTAAACCTGCAACTGGCCTTCCAAACCTAAATTTGTTTTTCCCTCTTGGTAGGAATGTATAGTGAATGCTTAAGCTATTAAATTCTAATAAGTTTGGCAAGTGATACAATTGGATTTTTAAATTTTTAAATTGGATTGTCCTTGCTGTGTTGTCTCATGAAGTTTAGAAGCAGGGGAATAAAAACTTGTTATTTTTTCTCAATATATTTGTGAAGAAGATCAATGCTCAACCAATTTCTCTCTTCCTGGACATTCAAAATGTAGTAAATTTCTCAGTTCAATTGGACAATGAAAGGTAACCCCGTTGTCCGTCAGGAAAGATTATGAAACAATATACCTGGCTCAATGGAGTTGCTTCAAATACTCCTTCAAAGGGAGACTAAGGATTTTATTCATTTTATTTTATTTAAATTGGGAAATATGGGTAATTGAGAAAAGGAGTAGTAGCCTTTTAAAAAATCACTATTTTGAATAAGAAAAGGAATGTAGTTTTCAATATGCAAGTGAACGGGGTGGGGGGAGGGAAGCTTTTGACATCTGAGTGAGCACAACAGTCAGCTGTCTTTGATTAGTATTTCCACAGAATTGTCTGTCAAGACAACTTCCATCCGAATGAGATCTATTTTTCAATTCATATCTTGGTAAAATATGTTTTACTAAAAAAATTATCTTGAATAGTATGGTTTAAACCAACAAAATGTTAAGAAAAATGTTTTTTAACAGTCTGATAAAAGAACTATTTTGCCGGGCGGTGGTGGCGCACGCCTTTAATCCCAGCACTTGGGAGGCAGAGCCAGGCGGATCTCTGTGAGTTCGAGGCCAGCCTGGGCTACCAAGTGAGTTCCAGGAAAGGCGCAAAGCTACACAGAGAAACCCTGTCTCGAAAAACCAAAAAAAAAAAAAAAAAAAAAAAAAAAAAAAGAACTATTTTGTTTGAAATACAAAAATTCATGAAAATAAGTAAAATGTAGAAGTATACTGATGTGTATAATGACCAACAAATGTGTACCTCAATGTCCATTTTATTTATTCACTGCATTATGTAATAACTGAAGTATAAACAAAGCAAGTTAAAAATATTTATGGCATATTAAGTAGAGGTTACACATTCCTATAAAACAAAATGACAGCATTTCTTAATGAGTGTGTCAAAACAGAAGTCATATAAATAGGGGGTTCTATATTTATTTATTTATTTAGTTACTTTTTTTTTTTTTGAGATAGGGTTTCTCTATGTAGTTTTGGTACCTGTCCTGGATCTCACTCTGTAGACCAGGTTGGCCTTGAACTCACAGAGATATGCCTGGCTCTGCTTCCTGAGTGCTGGCATTAAAGGCATGCACCACCGCTGCCTGGCCTTTTATTTATTTTTTATAATTTATTCATTTTTAATTTTTATGTGCATCGGTCTATTGCTTGCATGTATGTCTGTATGAAGGTGTCAGATCCCCTGGAACTAGAGTTACAGACAGTTATGAAGCTGCCATGTGGGAACTGGGAATTGAGCCCGGGTCCTCTGGAAGAGCATCCAGTGCTCTAAACCACTGAACTATCTTGCCAGTCCTATAAATATGGGGCTTTAAAAGATCATAATATTAACAGTAGGACTCTCTTTGCTGAGATTTTTGAGATCACTTTTGGTTGTCTTTATTTTAAAAATTTTGTAAAATTTTTTAATTCCAGCACTTGAGAGGTAGAGGCAAGGGAATCCCAAGTTCAAGGGCAGCCTAGGCTACAAAGTTAGACATTATATAAAAATAAATGAGTAAGATAAACATAAATTAGAAATTTTGGAAGTAATAAATGTGTTTTGACGTGGGAGGGAAAATCGACCCTTCCTTTCTGTAACTATTTTTGCTAGCAAGTTTATGTTGATGAAGTCACAATTGTCCAGGATTTCCTCAGTTTATGCTGAAAGTGTTTCATTATTCCTGAATGCACCTAGGAGTCTTAGTTAACAAGATCAGAGACAAGAATAGAAATAAAAAAAAAAATCAGCCTTTAGCATCTGGATGACCCTACAGAGTTCACACACTAAAACCCAGACTGACAGGCCCCATAGCTGAAGTTCAGGTCTCCAGACTGACAGGCCCGAGAGCTGAAATTCAGGTGCCTTTCTCTTATATTGGATCAGAAACTGCTCCTGTTGCCTTGCCCATGGCTTTGTATGCACAGCTATTTACTACCAAACCCTCGGTAGATTAGAGATGATAAATGAATATTAATGATAAAACAGGAGAATGTAAAGGGACGCAACACCAGCTGACATCATGGTGACAAGAAAAGAGACAGAATAACATAAAATAACTCTCAAGAGAAAAAAAAAAAACCCACCCTCAAGCCAGTGGTTCTCAACCTGTGGGTCGCAGCCCCTTGCAGGGTGTGGGGGGGGAGTATCGAACAACCCTTTCACAGGGATTACATAAGACCATCAGAAAACACAGATATTTACATTCCAGTTTGTAACAGTAGCAAAACTCCAGTTATGAAGTCACAATGAAATAATTTTATGGTTGTGGGTCACAATAGCATGAGGAGCTGCATTAACGGGCAGTAGCATCAGGGAGGTTGAGGACCACTGCTCTAAGCACCTGGTTGATGATGGAAGTGCACACATATGCAGGCAAGCTCACATCCTTCCGCAGGACCCAGACCATCACTGCAGATGTGCCGAGGACAATCTCAATTTGAACAAGAGTTAACCCCGAGTACAAAAGAAAGGCCACACTACCATCCAAGTATACTTTTAAAAATAAATCAAAGAATGTATAATGTTATTTAATACATTTTTTACATAAAACAGTGAAAATATTCTAGCACTTCAAAAGATAAGTTAATTGTCATTTTTTTAGCCCTTTGTTCATTCTTCTCATCACTTGAGAACAGCTTATTTTTTACAAGTAGTGAGCCGGCGTCAGGGCCAGTCCATTAATAACTCCTCTGTAGACTGATGCCATAGAGACGAAAGGAAACAGCAGCTAAGGACAAGATTATTACTAAATTGTCTCATCTTTGTTTTCTAGGGATGTTGGTCAAAGTATCCACTGTAGGTTAATTAGTGTCTTACACTAGCGAGTCAGGAAATCACCCCTGGAAAGTCAGCTCTGTCGCTGCCTCATGTGACGGGGCAAGTACCCTTCCTGTGGCCCCAGCAGATCTGTGGCTAGGCATCATCGGATTACCAGCGGAAACATAAAATGTGAGGGTGGATCTCCATTCAGGAGATACTAATGACATTTACAAACTGCTAATACAGAATCCCCAAATTTTCTGTCATCACAGGATAGACTGCATTCCTCAAAATGCATGATAAGAGAGAGGATCCTGAAGTCAAGACCCGGCTGGGTGTGTTCTGGACAGCTGGTCCCAGCGCTTGCTCCTCTTTCCACCCTTGGTTCTCAATTTGCCGGTCCAGTTTTTCTCCTGTGAGTTTCGCTTTTGCTAATGCCAGTCCTGCTTTGCTCTGCTTTCAGAATTTCCATTTCCCCGGCGAGTCTGGAGGTTGTTCCGTATACTCCCTGCCTCCTACACTTGGCCACGGTCCGGTGGGTGGGGTGCCTCTTGTCAAGGACTGTCTGGGTCAGAAGTGGCTGACGCTCAGCTGGAGAGGCAGATGTGCTGTCTCCAGCTGCATAGCCAAGAGATAAATGGCTCTTTCAGTGTCCTTTTCTCCTCCTCACTGGATAAGGACTCATAGAAGCTCGTTTCTCCATTTCTGCCCCTTGTTCGCCCATCAGAGTTCTACACTTTTTGATTTCCGGATGGAAAATGCGTACAGAAAGTTAAGGGCAACTATCACTGACACCTGTGAGCCACCCAGAAAAGGTCTACCCATGTAAAAAGCCTCATCACAGTCAAAACGTTCTTGATATCTTCCTGTCAATGTGTCGCATCCCTCTCAATTTCTAAACCTTTCAGAATTTCTGTTGCCAGATTTTCATTCCTGTCTCCCTTGGAGCCAAAGTCAGCAATCCCCCAGTAACTTCCTGAGGACACAATTTCTCCCCAAATCAGCTGGCTTTTTGCTTCCAGCCCATTTCCTCTTGTTCCAGTTTCTAATTTTCTTCCCCCTTTCTATTCATCCTTAGCATCCTGCTCTCAGAACCTGTACCAATTCTTCTAGTCGCCCCCCAGTCTCTTTCCCACAGGCTCCCCTTTCCCATCAGCCTCCCCACCCCACCCCCACTCCCCTCTCAACACTCATATTCTCCGATTTCAGTCTTCTCTCATGTTCTTTCTGGCACTCTCTGTTCATGATCCTTAGCTTTTCTGCCCTTCAAGTTCTGTTTATCTTTCTTTTCTTCCAGAACTAAATGCAGGAAGGAGGGAAGAGATGGCGTTTCCTGCCTGTGAAGTTTGTCCCTTCCACTTTAACAAAAATAATCACTGCCAGTAAGATTGTTCAACTTACGAAAAGATAAATGTTTGCAAAAGGATAGGAAACAGGACAAAAAGTACTTCTCTGCTGAGCCTGGGGTTAAAATCTGAACTTGGACTCAAGAGACACTCCTCTTTACTGATAAGGAGCCAATTTGGGAAGCTCAGCATTACTACTCTGAGGGTCTGTCTTATTTAGTATGTCCAACTAATATGGAGTATTCATCACTTCTTTGTATGACTTTTGCTTTTTAAAATTGTTACATATTTAAGACTGGGCATGGTAGTGCATGCCTTTAATCCTAGCACTCCAGATGCAGAGGCAGGGGGATCTCTGTGAGTTTGAAGCCAGCCTGATCTACATAGTGAGTAACAGGCCAGTCAGAGCTACACAATAAGACCCTGTCTCAAAACAAACAAAAAACTAAACAAGTAATTACATAGTTTTCATAATAGCCTAAGTTCATTGTAGAAAAATTTAAAATACATAAATATATAACAGAAAGTTATTCTGTAATCTACACCAATTCTGGGCTATTTTCTTAGATGTAAACATCCTTATTCATAATGTATTATAAATTTATGTATAATACATCTGTTAATAATGACTATATGTGTGTATTTTATATACATAACTATTTTGATATGTTCTTATCATCTTCTTTGTATACAAATGAGAGCACTGTGCACATTATAATGAAACTTGTTCCATTCACATAACAATACATAGTATAGCCAATTGCTGGTAAGCACCTATAAACCTACTTTACTTTTTGCCCCTGCTGTAGAACTCCATTCTAGTAATATACTGTGTATGAGTAATTCTGAGGCATTTTAGTTTTTAGAAACTCTATACACTTAAGAATTACTAAAGAGGGCTAGCAAGAGAGCTCAGTGGTAAAGGTTCACCATTTAAGCCTAATGGCCTAAGTTTCATCCCCCCAATTCTTGATGGAAAAGCTTTTGACCTTCATATGCATGCCCTGGTACACAGGCACCCACACTCACACACCCATATCCCATACATACACATACAAGTGCACATATACTCATACACATAATAATAAATAGAAATTTTAAATTAACACAGACCTTGGAGAGTTCTTATTAATATATCAATATAAATGCCTAAGTTTATAAAACTATTCTTGATAAATTTTACAAGCATGTTAATGAAGTAAATTATAATTATAGTTTAACAAAAATATCTTATGAAATTTAAAATTAACCATATTTTCCAAGATAAAACAATTTAGTAAAGAAAACTGGCATTGCTTTATAAAATGTATAAGTCTCTTTGATTTTTGGCCTAATTAAAAACACTAGAGCTCTTGTATTTGCTTCTCCATTCAATCTGTTACAAATATTGTTTCAGTAAATTATACAAAGACAATCTGGTCCCACACAGATCTGTTGTTGGTAAAGGGAGGAGTGTTTGATAAAACAGTCAGGCAGTGATGGTGCACGCCTTTAATCCCACCACTCACCCACAGAGGAAGTGGATCCTGAGTTCGAGGCCAGCCTGGTCTACAGAGTGCATTCCAGAGCAGCCAGGGCTACACAGAGAAACCCTGTTTTGAAAACAACAATAAAAGACCTTTCTGGGTCATTGTGATTATTCTTATCTGATCAGACTAAAATTCAATATATTAGTAATTTCCTAAGTTTAGTTACAATAGAGAATCTGAAAACACATCAATAAACTTCTACTTCATTACATTAAAATCTTCTATTTTACCTTACATTTTTGAATGAATCATTTACCCATACCTGAATTTGCTAATCATTTTGAAAATAAGTTCATGTTAGGTACATTTCCTAAATGTTAATATATTTTATTTCGTTGTAACATAAAATTACATTCATATATCACCACCAGTATTTCCCCCAAAGTTTTCAGACAGAGTCTTGCAAAGTTCATGGAGCAAATGTAAGGTTTCCAGAACTCTCGTTTTCTCTTGAAAGCTCAGATTTTACCATTGTCAATAAACATGGCCCACTGTACTGTTTTCCCTGAAGTGATACAGTTCAAACTTCACCTATCTTTGTAAATCTGGCAAATAACCAATTTCTAAGAAATACAGTTATTTCTTCTTTGTGAAGAATGTCTTTCCATTACAGTTCCACTCAAACAACAGGCTAAGTGCTCTCCCTGGAGGAAGCCCCAGTCCACACGCAGCTGAGATGCTTCATATCGTCTCTCAGAATGTGAAGAGACAAGAACTCAAGGGTCAGGACTGAGTGAAACTGGTCATGTGTACTGGTTCACCAAGGACAAGTCTTAAGTAAAACTGGCCTTTTAAAATAAACAAAACCGCATGGTGGCAAAGGATGGAATGATTACTCTCAGCTCCTGTTCCTGCCTTCATTCCTGCTAAAACTTTAACAGTCCTACCCACCATCCCCTTTGCACTGTCTGTGAAAACCAACACAACAAAAAACTGAGCAACACCTTAGTGCTTCTAAGAGAATAGTTTTGATCCTTCAGTCACCTAAGGGGACTAAGGACGGCATTTTGAGAACAGCTCTACTATGTACGCATTTAGACAGGCCCACCTTCAACACTGAGTCTTTTGTTAAAACAAACCCCCATAATAAATATCTTTAAGTTACTGTTTTTTGATATTTCATTTTCTCTGGGTGCTCAATTGTTCCAGTTTCAATAAAATTAAAAAGCTACAAATCTTTTGCTTCAGTCTCTTATGGCTACTTAAGTATTTGTTGACAGCAAGGATGAAGACCTGTGAAAATCGAACACCACCAGCACTCAGTGTCAATAGTGTGCTTGGGTAAATGAAGGCCTCAGTTGACCTGCATTCAGGGATTCAGAGAGAGGAAAAAAGAATTTGGACAGGGCTGTGCTATGATCCTCAACATTTTGATACTTTTTAGAACTTTCAGACAAAACAGAAAAGGGGAATTATTGACTTAGAATACATTTTTTAGTTGTGAATATTTGGATTAATGCAGAAATGAATATATTTTGAAGGACCTAGAACATTCCACACATGGCATTAACACCAGGCGTTGAGGAGACAGTAAAACACAATCCAGACAGGTGTCAGATGCAGCAAGCTTACAGCAATGACTTAAAAGTTCTCACAAAGTCAACTACAAAGTTGTTTTTTTAAGACTTAGGGTCATGTAGAGTATTTATGCAGCACAAACACATGGAATTTATTATTTTTTTATCTCACTGATAATTAAGGTGTTTTTATAACCTGGGTTTATAAAGGACACTCTAGTATAATTATCAACAACACCTCTTTTACTTAAAAGTTTCCCAGTTTGAATAATGAATTAAACACTCATGCATTGATAGCAGACTGAAAGCTACCTCCAAGTCTCCTTTTTAGAGTCTTGATAAAATCTACCAAGGGCTTCTATGAGAAACTACCATTTATTGACTATGTACTACATGTTCTGTGCCCTTTCTTTGTGGATTTAATTCTATGAAGTAATGTGTGAGAGTAACACCAGCAATTCTATCCTCATTTTACAGAGAAAGTGGAATCAGAGTGTGCAATAACTCGCCAAATGCAACCAACATCTAAAAGGTTAAATTAAGATTTGAATTCTATTTTTTAATGCCTATGTTCTTTCCTCCATTTTTCAAATTATGTTTCATGGAGCTGGTATCAAAACCATCTGGCCACTTAATGCGGACGTAGGCTAGAGTGTTTCACCCCAAACACACCGAATCTCAATCTCTCTTGGGGCAGGCCTGGGTGGCGGGCCTGCAAAAAGCTCTCCAGATAATGCCCACACGTTGGAACATGGACCACTGCGCTAAGCCATGTCCCCTCCAGTAATCATCCCCCCGTTATTTCTTCAAATAAAACACACTTTTCCAATGTTGAAATGAAGGAGTAAACACAGTTCCTCCTTGGACACTCTGGTTTTCTTAGGGAATCATGAGGTGGATCTGAATACAGCTTTCTACAGTTGGTCTGATGGATGAGGTGACATTAACTCTCTTGTGGCCTGATACCTTTTCTGAGAGATTTTCCTAGGCCCCTCCTAAGGTGTAGTGGGAAGTGGAAGCTTCTAAGAGAAATCTATTTTGTGTGTTGACATTGCAATTTTAGCAATGGCAATTGTGGTTACATATTCATATAGTTTTAGCCCAGATCCTTGGAAGAAATTATTTTTGTGACTATTGATAATATAAACCTAGAATTAACTGGTTTTGTTGCTAAATGTGGTAGAATAATTTAATAGCTATTACTGAAACTAAGTATCTGTTGTTCTCTACCAATTGTGTGCATCCTATTCACACATTAGTAGAGTAATAAAGGCCCTTTTATTCCATGGGATGTGACTTGTATAGCATATTCTTGGGTTACAATATAACAGATGTTGAAAAGCACATTTTCTCAAGTTTGCCTGGAACTGAATGGTTGCAGCCAATTCTACAGGTCTGTCCTTCAAAAGAGTGTCTGTAATGCCTAGACTGCTGGTGTTCTCGGAAAGCCCACATTACCTTTGCATCATGACAAGCATTTCCAGGTCTCACATATGAGGCAAATGCTTAAGTAATGAAAACTTTTGCCTAGGAGAAAGGATCTGGTAAGTCCAAGTTGGACCCCAGAAAAGTTCACTGGCCAGCAGGAAGATGTAGCTGGAGCAAACCAGTGTTTCAGAGGGTTGACAGAGACCCCATTCCAATCTGGAACAGAGGCAGACCCCAAAACTTTAAAGGACAGAATGGAGGGATGATGTGCCATCGTCTCATTTGGATTTTTAGGTATTTGGTGTTCTTTAGCCATGGTAAGTGTCCAGAGAGCTTCAGAAATCTAGTTCAATAGAAAATGGTGCTACGGAAACTGGGAGAGGAAGTTTCCTGGGTGAAGAGTGAGTGGACGCAGTGGGGCACCAGAGACCTACAAGAGCCAAACAAGTACAGTTGACATGCTTAGCAAGGTGGGCCTCAGCCAAGGCCCCTCCTGGCACCAGGCTCTTGCTTGGCCAGGACTACAAGGAAACCAGACTGGTGGGGAAGCCTCTAAAGCAGCACCAACCTGTGGCCTTCGTTGGTCTCTGTTCAGAGGTAACACCATAGTTAATTATCGGCCATCTATTTGTTGGTGCTTTTAAAGGTTGTTCATTATCAGTGCTCAACTTAGATTCCTCACTGGGTATGATGAGCAGGTGCCTGTTGTTGGAGGTTATTGATGCTGGGAGAGCTAGTCCACTCAATATTGATATTCTGAACAATTTGTAAAGCTGGATCTCAGTTTATCATGTGCTAGCTCCAGGCTACCTTTTGATGATTGGAAGCCCTTAATCATATCATGACTTTAATGAGAATGTACATTTCGTTTGTAGGTGCATAGAGGAATCCATACCAAACATATACAAGAACAGTCGGAGCTACTCAAATGAGCACACATTCTACCCTAGAACTCACTGTTTATAAGGAACATATTTATTTTGATGGCCATGGAATGGTTTTATATCCTCATGCATGCATATTTTATTTTGGCCACACTGTATGAAAGACATCTAAAAACTACTAACAAAAGGAAAAGTTTTAATATAACTGATGTCTTATCATGAGGAACAACTTGAGAAAAATCTAAAAGTACAATTATGGTCAAGCCATAGAAGTGCTTAAGAACCTTTATCCAGGCAGCTGTACTGATCTTATAAGTATCTGAGATGTCCTTTACCATGATGTGAAATAGTATCACTCTTTCTCGCTCCATCCCTGACTTAACAGTCATAATCTGGTACATATATAAGCTGTGTTTGGGGGCTCTTTTCAATGGAGTTTATGCTTCTCTTGGTTGACTTTCAGAAACATGTGACACAGAGACTTGGGTGACAGACACTACATTGTCTGATTAAGTGATGGTTCTGAAATGGGGAAGTTTGAGAAAGTATTAATACTGGGTATGCTTCATTTCACTCCAAAAGTCACTTTTAGTCAGTCTTGGAGACTTATTTGTACAGATCCTTCTCATTCTACCTAAGATTCTTTTGAGTTTGCTATTACTCTTGGCTGGCTATCTATTTATCTATCATGACCTATCTAGTCTCAGGGTCTTGGCCATGTGAGTAGCACCAGGCATGGGTTCCATCCCATGGAGTAGGCCTCAAATCTAATAAAAAAAAATAGTGGTTGGTTATTCCCATAATGTTTGTGCTGCTATTGCATCAATATATCTTGCAGGAAGGTCAGAGTTGTAAGTCACAGTTTTTGGAGCTGGGTGACATTGATGATTATCTTTCTTCTCTAGCAGCATGCAGTATCCCTTCCAGTATCATGAATGCTAATCAGCAGCATCACCCCAACTTCTAGTTAGGTATCAGTTCGACTTCTCCATGCTTGATGACATAAATAAATGCTGTCCCAGCGCTGAGAAGGGGAAGTGGATGTGGTTATGGGCCCCCCTCCTAACTAAAAAGCTGTCTGCAACTGATAGCTACTGGCAAACAGAAAATCACTTTTCTTCAGTAGAGTATCCATGGGCATATCAACCACACTCCAGGGCAGCCTCCCAGCCAGGAGTAGTTGGCCAATACAAAATAAACTAGATGATATTTTTGTGGACTTTTTGTTTCATTTTGCTTTGTTTTGGCATTGTCTTTTTTTTTTTTTTTCGTGGTTTGTTTTGATTTTTGTTTTTGTGGGATTATTTTGTTTTTTACTTTTTTGTTTTTATTTCTTATGTTTTGTTTTTCTTTTAGAAAAAGAGATTATATATAAAGTTGGGTGGGTAGAGAGGTGAGAAGGAACTGGGAGGAGTTGCGAGAGGGGGAAACATGATCAAAATATATTGTATGAAAAATATTAGAAATAAAAGAAAAAGAAGTTGGGGCCTCCAAGATGACTCAATGGGTAAAGGCGCTTGCTGCCAACTTTGACAACCTGAGTTCAATCCTCAGGGCCCACATGGTGGAAGGAAAGATTGACTCCCACAAATTGTCCTCTGACCTTCATATATGCATGTACACACACACACACACACACACACACACACACACACACACACACACACACACAAATAAATAAGTGTAATAAAAAATAAAGCTTCTCAAACAGCAAATAGTTATCATATAATTATGTATGTCCTGAAGTAATGCACCTTACCCTCTCCTGGGCCATCCTACCTGTCAGGGTAGTGACTATTCAGAAAAGTGGATGTGACTCCTTCTTAAGAATGTGACTCTCTTACTCCAGTTCTCAGAATACAGATTCCTTAGATTCTAACAATGGGGAAGATGTGGCTGGCTTGCTGAGAACCCTGGCTGTGCTCCACAGGGCAGGGTGGAGGAATTAATCTTCATTTCTTTCTTTTGAGAAGAATCACATTTCAGCTCCTAAAGTGGCTACTCCACCCCTGCTCCACCCCAGGGACCTCCACACACAGAGAGAGCATTGTGGAGCATTTAGCAAACTGAATGCAACTTTTGTGGTTGCTCTTGAATTATTTTATTTTATATTTGGTAACAACTTGATGTAATTTATTAAAGAAAAATTCCAAGAAAGCAGCTAGTTTCATAGAAGAAAAGGAGGAATCAGCACTGGAACCTAATTTGTTAGTTGCTTTGTCAAAGCACAAGTCCCAAGCGCCAGTTGTGTGCCACTGAGGCTTTTTGAAAACTTAACCTCTCACTTAACTATTTTTTTAAAAAAAACCATTGTGCTTAATACAGTCCAACATCTGCTCACGCATTAACTGTGAAGGGCTCTAGATCAAAGGGCCTGTAATTATCTGAGACTTCTTCAGAACTTCAATTTCATCAGC